GGTAATGTGCACACCTTTCTGGGTGGGACTGTCAACACAATAGCGGCTATCCACAATTACCACGGCCCGGGGACATGCCCGAGTTAACAAGTAGCGTTTACGGATGGGGACTTTATTTGGAAATATACTCTCAAGTACATCAATTTAACATTTATATCATAGTGCAAAACCGCCAATATTTCATGACATAAACAAATCTTGACTAAACAGTTCTTTAGTCCAACAGTTTTAAACAAATCTTGACTAAACAGTTCTTTAGTCCAACATTTTCATAAATAAATAGTATAGTTTGCATACTTCATGCTTTTCCCCCAGTTTAAATAAACAAAAAAAAAAGCATTAAAAGTGAGGCCGTGAATACTCACAAGTTTGCCGATGAATATCCAAGGAGATGATGTTTGAAGCGCTAAACGTCCGCCCTAACCTTCCTAAACAGTCCGAAATCCAATAATTAGATCACCTAACGAGTCTCGATAAAGATAAAGTCAAATTACATCTTATGTAATGCCAACGAGTTTTTATGATTTAAAGTTGATACCTATATTATTTGCTCTACAAATAGTCCAAAAATTATATATTTTAAAAATCAAAGTTCTTTGCACAAAAAGCTGTCATTTGGACATAATATAAATTCTGTTTCTGGAATTTTTAGTCTCACAAGACATTGTAAAAAGGAACCTTCCAAGAGTCATTTTGTGTCCAAATTTTTATATGAACCATAATAATGAGTTAGACAGATTTTTCCCAAATATCAAGAATTTTGGATGGGTTTAAGGTACTCATTAATACCCTACAACCTTGAGTGACACAGTCCCCAAGACAGATTGCACACTCTTCAAGTGACGGTCATTTGGGGGGGGTCTAAACTCATCATTTTTCAATGATTTTAACTTTATTTTAAAGCTAACACATAAGGCTAACTCCATAAAAAGAATCACCCATTTTTAATGAGTTTTAAAGAAGATATGACCGATTTAAGATGCATGCAAGATTCTGTCAGCAATGCTCTTTTTGCATCATAATCTTGTATCAAGAACTTGAAGGCTCAAAACGTAATATTTTTGAGTGAGACCAGTTGCATTAGAAAGATAACTCATCAAAGTACGTTTTAGAAGAAAAATCAGAACATTTGGACTTTTATTATGAAAGATATAGTCGACACAAGTGCTGATAGAATCTGTCAATTTTTAAAATACAACTCTTCATGATTAAATTCCACATACAATGTGGTTTTCTCCTACTTTCTTAGAGTTCGAAGATCGTGGATCATAGATTATCACTCTTTTGAAGACATTTTCTTGTCTTTGATGTATAATCTCCCCTTTTGAATTCTCCAGAAATTTTAACTACAAGAATGAGAAGTAGGTGTAGAAAAATGTGAATCTTTGTTATTTTATAAAGGTAAGATAGCTAGTATAA